TGGCCAAAGCTCAGGCCAACTTTGAGATTTTCCAGCGACAACAGAGAGCAAAAGAGGCAGCCGCAATAGAAGCGATCCTGCAGAGAGAGTTAGAAGATGCCATGTCAACGCCCAATTTGGAAAGTTTAGGAAGGGAAAGTTCTCACAGCCGTGTACAGACCTATGTGGACAACCAAAGCGCACTCCAGAATGCACAGATGAGAGCACCACAGCCAGCCACAAGCCCCCCAAGACCGAGTAGACGAACAGAGGAATCTCACCGACCTGATTCGCTGGTCAACCGCAGAGTTGATGTCACAACACCTAGGTCACGAGATCCTCCCGCCTTTGCTGCCACATCGAACCTGATGGGATTACCAGCAATAGCAATGACTGCACAGCGGGGAGCGCTACAAGTTCTTTCCACCATTATTACCCCACAGAACCCGCCAAACCATACCACTAATGGCAATCGGATGGATCCACCTGTAGCACCAACGGCCCTACAGCAGAACCAGCCGACGCTCAGGGACGAGGTTGAAAGAGTTAGAGCCACACTAGAGTCACTAGAGTCCCTGCTGCACCAACAGGAGGCAGCGCCCCAAGGAACTGCCACCAATCCTGACTACAGAGGACAGCCTCGAGCATCAGCTCTGACAGCCTACCAGGGAGCTAGCTACACTCTACCAGAAACACAGACCTTCCAACACGTAAGCAAGCAGGAGCCTGAGCTCCCTCAGCTCAGCGCCAGTGCAGCAGAGTTCAGACCAAGCCAACAAGGTCCTTTGCACGTGACATGGCAAAATACACCCAGCCACCAATATGCCGAAGGAAATTACCAGCCAAACATGGCACACGCCCCTACTCCTGGAAGCGAGGTACCATCGCCACCTGGTTACACCTCTATGAGACTTTACAGAAGCAAACTAGATCTGGCATCCAAGGGTGTACACAAATTCCCCGATAAACCGGGAAAGGACTACGTATTGTGGAAGCTCACGTTCCAAACCGCCATCCAAGATGAAGCTATAACATCGAGCGAAGCGCTCGGACACATGAAAACATGGCTGGGACCGGCTTCCACACGATTAGTAGAGAACACTCAACTAGCCCACCTAGGCAACCCAGCTACTGCCCTTCTCAAAGCTTGGGAAAGGCTCGACGAGCGGTATGGCGGACATGAACTGACAGAAAAGTCGCTCTTGGATTGCATTTACACCTTCCCTAACATCAATATCAATGATCACACCCAGATGTTGGAATTCGCAGACACGCTCTCGATGCTACATTCAGTTCGCGAGCAACCCAACATGCCGAAACTTACCTGCCTCGATCAGTTCGAGAAGCAAAGGATCATAGTTAGAAAACTACCAAAGCAGTCAAGGGATGAATGGGCCAAAATATCCGAAACCCACAGGAACCAAGACCCTGACGCACCACCCTTCGCTGTACTCGCTGAATTTGTGACCGACCAAGCAAAACTACGTCATAATGCCAGCAACTTCGAGCCAACAAATGACAACTTCAGCCCCAACCGAAGTTCTTCCCAAGCTACGGACAGAACCACACCTTTGGTGTATAAAACAGACATCACGCCTTCCCCAAAGAAGTCTCCAGACGAACAAACACCGAGAAGCGCTCTTTCGAACCCTCATCCAACTACCAAAGGCCTAACTTGCCCGATACACAAGTTCTCTCACTCTCTAAATGATTGCAGAGAATTTAGGAAGAAATCCATAGATGACCGAAAGACCCTACTCAAAGAGAATAGGATATGTTTCAAATGCTGTGACTCTATGGATCACATGGCCAAGGACTGCACAGATAAGGTGAAATGCCACCTGTGCAACAGCGACAGGCACCCAGCAGCCTTACACCTAGAACCTAAGATGCTGTCTAAGGAATCATGACAAGCAACTAGCTCTACACCAGACTAATCACTGACCGAGTCCTGTTGCTAAGGAAGACCAGCTTAGACAATTGAACCTCTTCAGTTCCAGCTGTTGTTCTTGATTCTTCAGCTCCAGCTGTTCCTGAGTTTCCAGATCCAGCTGTTTATGTCTTTCCAGGTTTTTCAGTTCCTGAGTATCCTGTGAATCCAGTTCCCCTCATTCCTGAGAAGCTTGGGTTCCAGTTTTTTCTCTTCCAGATTTGGTTCCAGCTTCCTTCACAGGAAGAAGAAGACGTTGTCTCACTGGGAGACAAGACTGCATACCAGAACTATTGGCCCAGGGGACTTGTGCACTGGGCCCACCCACTTGATGAACTAGTTTACCCAGCTGAGATCCAGATCGTGAAGCCACGTGAGTCAGGTCATGACCAGGCTGATCACCGATTTGGTCCATTGCTGATGAAGACTGAACCACAAGATTAAACCTCAAATTATGTATTGTCTTATGCATTGTTTGATGTAACACTTGCCTTTTTCATAATTGTGCATGTTTTATGTTTACCTTATAGTTATGCATGTTTGATACCAAGTTTTTACCTATTTAGTCACAAGTTAACCACAATGAGTATTGCATGCCTTGATGCTACGTTTTTACTATTTTAGTAGTGGAAATATAAATTTCCAAGCGGGGAGTGTTCTGGCCCATATAGCTCTATGGCCCATATAGCTCTATGGCCCAGCTCTATGTTGGAAGGTCTGGCAGTTATTGGGTTAAACGCTAGGTATGTGGATGGGTCAGTGGGAGGAGTTCCAAAGGTCTTTGGGAGACTTCCTGGACACAAGCCACATGGGAATCTCTTTGTCTGTAAGAAGCATGGGCCATGGAAGGTCTCCCTATAAACATAAAGATGGTATAAAGAGCAATATCTTCTTACCTAAAGGAAGGATCTAAGAGATAAACAAACATGTATTTCCAGCAGCACCAATCTCAATGTGAACGCAAGTAATCTTTCTCATTAAAATATATTTTGTTTATTATAAGATCGTTTCTTTTGAGTTAACTATCTGATAGGATTTAAAAGAGATCATTTTAAGTTTGTGTCAGAATAGGGATGATGTATGTGAATGAAAAGTTTGAAATTTAAAAGTAAATTAAGTTGAAGAGAATTAAGACTAAGGAATGACTGAAATACTGAGGGGAAATTAAGTTTAAATAAGAACTTTGAAAATAGGATACATAGTGATTTAACAAATTAACTTTTACAAATATAAGTGAAATATAAACTGATCAGAAAAGATGTTATAGGTAGATGTCATAAGATAGATAAGCAGTATAGTATTTTTATAATGCATGAAATATGAAAACATTGGGATGGTGTATCTAATGGAAAATCTGAATATTTAGATGATTAATATTGAGAAAATTATAACTGATGAATTGTTTGAATATTAAGGGGAAATTAAGCTTAAATAAGAATTATGAAAATAGGATATATGGTGAACTAATAAGATGATTTTTATAAACACACAAATTGATAAGAAAAAATGTCATACATGGATGTTATTGTTATTTGTACAAACATGAAAAAATGTATATATTTAACCATTTATACAATGAAAATATTAAGAATTATATTTGGTTAAGGTTGAAGAAAGATAATACTATTGGGAGAAGGGAAGATCAAAGAAATATATTATTAATTAATATACTAATTATAGAATTACAAAAACTAATTATTATTGATGTTAATTAACTAGTATTGTTTTTTTTCAAAATATATGAACCAAGACAACACGCTGTACACTAGGCATTAAGGATTGTTATTGTAAAAAATCAATAAAACATTTCTAAAAAAAAAAAAAGAAAGAAGAGGGTGCCAAGCTATTCTCCAAAACACCTGAAGGCAGGACAAGAAGCAAAGGGTGGAAACTAATCAAGGAGAGAAGCAACCTAGAACTAAGGAGAAACTTTCTGACAGTTAGAACAATTAACCTGCCTCCAGAAGCTGTGAATGCTCCAACACTGGATGTTTTTAACAAGAGACTAGACAGCCATTTGTCTGAAATGGCATAGGGTTTCCTGCCTAAACAGGGGGTTGGACTAGATGACCTCCAAGGTCCCTTCCAACTCTATTGTTGTTGGTGGTGGTGGTGGTGTTGTTATATTTTCAGCTTTCAAGATTTTCCATCAATTATTTAATTTCCAAGGGAAACCTCCATACTGCCAATACTCCCTTGAGCTTTTTCAGAAGTGATGCTACTGTCACCACTAGAGGATTCTATCCTAAAGACAAGAAGAGCAGGGGATTATGCATGTATGTATGTATGTAGCTGATAAAGCCTGTCCACTCTCCATTGAGAAAAACATAGTGGCTTTGTTGGCATAACACACTTTTCCATTATTAATTGAACCATAACTGCTTATACCATCCAATTATGAGTTCATAATCACATAATAAACCCTGAAGTTGAATTCAGCCAACATATAAAGTTTAAATGTGGCTCATGGTGTCACACAAACACAACCATAGCAGTGATCTCATCTTTACTAATATAATCTGATGAGAAGACAGATATTCTTTCCACAATTTATTGCATCACTGCCACCATAGCAATAAAATGTCTGAGTTCTTTAGTCCTATATTGTCATAGCAACAGCCAGATGATGATGATGCTGTAAACGGCTACTCTAAAATTTCTCAATGACTGACCAGGATTTGAAATCAACTTTCCTGATTTGTAGTCTAGGGCTAATCATTGCAGCAGTCTGGCATAAAAGAACGTTCAGGGTTACATCTTATTCTTCCTGGAAAGATGAGAGGCAGAATAGCTGTCCACTACCGAATTGAAAATGTAATCCAGAAACAGAAATATCTGAATTTTGGACAAAGTCTTTGAGGCTTTACTACAACTCCCCGAGCGTCGTAGACTACACTCCTTTCCACTACTAAAACACGTGTTTCTCTCCAAGTCGCAGAAAAGAACTGCCTCCCGCCCTTAGCCTCTCCATGTGTTAAACTCACGATTTCTGCTCAGCGCACTCCCTTTCAGGGTGGGGGTGTGGCCGGGGGCGGTGTGTCGGCTTCTCCGGGTTACACCTACCCGGCTGGGGGGGAGGGGGGAAGGGAGGGACGCAGGAGCGAACAGTAGCAGTGGGCGCGTCGACCTTCCCTGATTAATTTAATGCCGGCGAACAATCCATAACTTGTAATCAGGAGTCTTGGGAGAGGGAGGAGGAGGCATAAATACGAAGGCAGTAGAGAAAGGCTGTAAGGGTTATTAGTTGTTAAGTAAAAAATCCACGCCTGCATCCCGGTGTCCGGTGGAGTGCGAGGAAACACGCTGGCTCCGGAGGAATGGCGAAGCGAAAACACGTGAATTAAACGGACAGCTTTGTGACAGCCAGTCACAGCCGCGGTCTTTCCTGTCAGAGGCGAAATGATTCCTCCGGGTAACGCGACTGAAGTCAGCCTTGAGAGGGTGGAGAAGGAGAACGACATTCAGCCCCCCTCTCCTGCCTCTACTACCAGCCAAGAATCAAAGGTATCTCGAGCGTCGGGGTGTGCATCATATATCCATACTGATACACATGCACGCAAACACTCACATACAGATGTTTATCTCCAGCGCGGTACCCAATTTTTCATCGTTTCCTATTGGAACCTTATGTGGCAAAAGAATTCTCCGAAATGGCTCTGGAGGGATTGCTAGTTGGTTTGGGTTTTTGGATTGTTACTGAAAGTGAATGTGTTTCAAAGGATTCTTTAGTGGGAAAGTTTTCAGGTATTTATTCCTGGAAGAATGGGAGGCATTTAATTGATTTAAAACAAAGCAAAAAATCATTACTATATCTGGGACTTCATTAACTGAGGCTCATAAATTACTCACAACTGTATTGAATAGACTGCAATTTATTTGTTATAGAAAAGTTGGTTACTATTTTAAATGCTTTGCAGGAATTTTGCAGTTTAACCAGTAAGTAGATCAGCTGTTAAACGCTGATCTTAGTTTGTGCCAGGACAGCCATCCTGTAACTAATAGGATTTCCTCTCCATTTCCTCACCATTTTCTAAAATGATTGTTACTGGCCTGGTTAGCCCCACTTGCATAATACCAGTCAAGGTTCTTTCTGTTTCCAACATTTCAAAACTTAAGTAATTTAGCAGACAAAAAGTTTTTTGGGATAGGATCAATCCGTGGTCTGCAGACCCCTGGGGGGGGGGGTTGATATAATCATAGGGGATCCACAAAGGCTTGAAGAAATATTATGATTTCAATCTTGAGTTAATTCTTGGTGGTCCATGGCCATATTTCATGGCCAGAAAAGGTATTTAAAGAGCATCTGTGGTGAAGAAAAAGTTGAGACCCACTGGATTAGATTAAATCTGGAGCAGGTTTCTATAAAGGAACTGAAGCGAATTAAAGAAGCAATGAGGCATTTCTCTTTAATGTGGGCCTATTATGAAAGGCTAGGAAGTACCTAGGGGGCTCAGCCACTTGTCCACTGAATACATCAACTAAAGAGACTTTTTTTTTCAAGACATTTAACCCAAACTGTCATACAGTATTGCAATAAAGTACTTCAAATATGTGACACTGTGATATAAATTGTGTTGGCACTATTTTTCAGTGATCCCTGAGAATAATACTACATAATGTTTATAATGTCAAAGTAGAGTCAAAATAGGATACAGAGTTAAAGGCATTCTATGAAGGATCAGGGTCAAAGAAGTCTCAGGGCAGGATGGGGCATTCAAAGGAGGGAAGCACCAGGAAGACAACTGGAATGTTCTTACACAAAATCATTTTCAAATGACTTGCATTAGTTCAATTGCAAATACAGCTCCCTTAGCCTCCAATTAGTATTGTCAACTCCAGAAATTCAACCTATCTAAAGAGGCAATGAGGCTTCAATAAAATACCATTACTTGGGGAGAGAGAGGACAGACACTGCTATGATTTCCCTTTCCCATTTGATCAGTATAATTCCAACAAGCATGTCAAAGATAGAAACCAACCAACAGGATGATGCTCTGAATCATATCATATAATCAATGGAACTGCCCCATGCTATAATGAGAAGTTGGATCAAAGATCAACAGTGTGGCCTTGTATCTGTTTGTGTTGTGGGATACATGGAAGACTAAAGTGACTGATACATATATTAATTTGTCCTATGGGAAAGATAATTGGGGCATCTTGAATTTATAACAGGATTGCAGTCTAATCACAGAAAATATCAATTGTTTTAAATTTTTGAATGAGTTTGATGCTATTTGAAGTACCGTATTTCTTTTTGATATAAGTGGATATAAATACTTTGTGGGAAAGCACTTTTGACATTTTGGAAATATTCTCAGTTAAATTTTCACACATAAAAATGGGAAAAAACATACTTCAAATTATAAAGTATGAAATGATAACATTTAAAATCTAAATTACTCTTGAATTTTGAAATTCCAATTCTCAAATTTTGGAGCACTCTTCGATTTGACAATTTTCTGTTGGTCATTATATTCAGTTAACTAAATTCAAATGTTGGTATAAATAGTCAAATTATGCTAGCTTTAAAACTATACAAAACTCTTAGTATGTTTTTCAAATGAAGAATAAAAGAGTACAGGTTTCTTTCTGCCACTACACATTATATCCTACATGATTGGTTTGGTGGAAAGCCATTCTTCTTCTGAAATATTGATAACTAAACTTTATTTTGGTTTTTCTTGTTTTTTCATAAACAAGTTAAAAACTCAAAACTTAGTGCACATACTTTACAAAGTTTATGCATTTTCTAAAAAATAAAAACAATGGCCATCCCCAAATTGGAAGCTTTTAGGACTAGTAAGACAAGAAGATTAAAGGAATTAGAAAAAGGAATGGGGAAAGTATCCTTTTTTTATCTTGAAGTTTCTGCTTTTGTGAGGGCCAAGCCACGCTATGAGACTTATGGTTTGTCCAGAAACTTGAATAAAAGTTTGAACTTTAATAAAAACCTGAATAAAAGACATTATAAAATGCTTTTTATAATTTTGTTTTGTAGACAGATAATTGGAAAAAGAAGAGGGCTTTTTATCTAATCACTGCTTTCTTGTCTTCTCCTTACCCTTCCGTGCAACAGGTGCTATAACTAAAGGGCTGCATTTCCATAGGGCAGCTCTAAATCAGCTGGCTTCTTGGGGACTGTCTTAAAGTCAGAAAGTAATGTACAGCAAGTTTCTCAGTGTTGTACTGTGTAAACACATCTCAAGGGTGGCTATTTCTGCAGTTTACTCTTAAGATCTCAATAACTACTTCTGTAGCTGCTTTTCTATCCTTGCCTTAAACCAAAGCCAGATGTGTTGTCATCAAAGCAAGCTACAGCTGCTATTTTTATAACCCTTTCTATCTTATGGCTTTTAAAAAAGAAAAAGAAAACACTGAGAGTGTTTTCTAAATAAACTGGGTACTTTGCCCTTTTTGAAACCATATTCTATGAAATCAGTAGGGCTTATTTCAAAATGAACATAATTTAAGTCAGATTTGAAGTGCAGAAATTTGGTCCTTATTTCCATTTCATTTAAAATTGTTTTCGAATTATGGTTTAATGGGTAGTTGGAAGTCGGACATGCTGCTGTCCCATTTAAACCACATTACTTCTGCATAATTTGGCAAATATATGTTGCTGAATCCAATGTTCCACGGAGTCCTAGACATTTATAGTTGGGAAGAAAAGAAAACCAGGACAAATGTAAATTCCCTAGTTCAAGCCAGAACATTTGACAAGTTTATGAACTGAGTTAGACAAGCAATCACCTAGCTCCTTTGGCAACTGCTATAATCCTAAACATTGATTTGAAAAATTCATTGGAACCAAGACATGCTCTTTCAAATATGAAATATTACAAGAAAGTACAATTTATTAGAAGGTGTTCTGGTTTCTTCTGAAAAAGTGAATCAACTGATTTTAATACTTATTTGGCCCATTTTTTACAACAGACAAATCTTCCTAGTAAATAATCATTTGTTTAAACTATTGCTTGCTTTTATATCTTGTTATATTTCATGAAGGTTCTTTCTGTTTCCATTTGATCTTTCCTACATTTCTGTGAGGTGTGTTGGGCTGAAAGGAATGATGGTTCAGTGATTTCATGACCAAGTAGGAATATGTTCCTGGTTCTGAAGTTCCATGCTTTCTAAAAGATGGGAGCAATAGATGGTTTGTAAGCACTGCATATGTCCCTCCAGCACTATTTTTTTTTTTAGTTTCTCTGTCTTCTCAGATTGCTCTGCTGAAATTCAGTTGCAAAACAACGATAGTTGGATGGTTTTCTTATTTACATTGGGAGTCAATTGGAGTAGATGGATTACGCCTTCACTAAGATTAACAAACTCTTATTTATTTTATTTGTTTCAGAGACAAAAACATGGTTCAGAAAATATCTGCCGTGCCCAACTAGAGAGCCAGTTGGGACATTAGTATGCTAAAGCTTTTCATGCTGGAATCACTTCTGGGTCTTGATGGATGGTTTAAATTTCTACCATGTAGAAACCTAGTTTGTCAATGAGAAACATAGATTCATCTGTTCCTCTCTGACCTCATAATTTGGTCCCCACCCTGCATCATAGATTTATTCAGACATGCAGCCATTAATCAGGCTGAACTGATAAACTCAAAAGTATTATATTTTCTATCACCTTACTAGAAGACATTATCTTGGTACATACAACCTGAGATGATGTCATAACAAATTACAAGATGAAATGTGTCTGATTTTTACATGTCACATTATTTGAAAATTGGAAAAAGATTATAGAAACTAACTTATATATTTGGTTTCATATACAGTATGCTTAAGTGCATTGTGTGTGATACCTTTAATCCTTTTGTGAAAAGTAATTGAGTAGAGAACTCAGCTTTCCAGGCCCTACAGCTATGGTGGGAATCCTCTAATCCAGGGGTGTCAAACTGTAGGCCCATGGGCCGGATGCATCATTGGAAAACCATGCTCACCCCATTGCCGGCAATGGCAAAAAAGCTCTGATACGTTGCACAATGTCATGTGATGTTGCTAGTTGGACATGTCTGCTCTAATCCATAGGCCTAATTCAGCCCATAGAAGTTCCTAGTCTAGTTTGTGCACAGCATATTTTAATTACTTGGGAAAATAATAAAAAGGCTAAACTGACTTCTTTAACTATTAAGGTACTTACAGACCGGCAACTCCTAATATGTGCAATCATTTTGTCCTGCATTTCTTAAAAAAGCTATTTTGTGATAAGAAAATAGGAGTGCTGGAAAAGAGAATGAATAGAAAGCTGTCTGAATGAGGCAACAAACTTCATAATAAAAGCCTCGTCTGTGAAGGTACGTGTTTTAATTTAGGCCAATAGGATTGGGTATTAATTCTGAGGACAACTGCTAAGTACATCCTGATAAGTATTAGCAATAGGTTAATATTCTCATATTTGAGAAACCAAGGTGTTCTGTGCAAAATGTTCTTTGCACTTCTCCTTCAACAGAGTTCTCTGTTTTAAATATTGTGATTAAAGACAAAAATCATTCT